CGGCGAACAAGAATCTAGTGCGTCACTCTGGTGCCCCCAGGGCGCCCACAAAAGGGCGAATTAGAATCTAGTTCGCTGCCCTGGTGCCCCAAGAGTACCGCCAGAACGGCGAACTAGATTCTAGTGCGTCACTCGGGTGCCCCTAGGGCGCCCACAAAACGTCGAATTGGAATCTACTTCGCCGTTCTGCCGCCAGGACGGCGAATTAGACTCTAGTTCGTCATTCTAGCGCCCCGGGGGCGCCCGAACTATATCTTAGCTCGCCGCTCTGATGCCCCAGGGGTGCAGCGAGAACGGCGAAGTATAATCTAGTTCGTCATTCTGGTGCCCCCAGTGCGCCTTCAAAACGGCAAACTAGAATCTAGTTCGCCGTTCTGGTGCCCCAGAGTACCGCCAGAACGGCGAACTAGACTCTAGTTCGTCACTCTCGTGCCCCCAGGGCGCCCGCAAAAGGGCGAAGTAGAATCTAGTTCGCCGCTCTGGTACCCCGGCGAACTAGAATCTAGTGCGTCACTCTGGTGCCCCCAGGGCGCCAACGAAAGGGCGAACTAGAATCTACATCGCCGCTCTGGTGCCCCGAGAATGCCCAAGAGTACCGCCAGAACGGCGAACTAGAATCTAGCGCGTCACTCTGGTGCCCACAGGGCGCCCTCAAAACGGCGAGCTAAAATCTAGTTCGCTGTCCTGGTGCCCCAAGAGTACCGCCAGAACTGGGAACTATAATCTAGTGCGTCACTCTGGTGCTCCCAGGGCGCCCACAAAAGGGCGAACTGGAATCTACTTCGCCGCTCTGGTGCCCCAGGGGTACCGCCAGAATGGCGAACGAGAATCTAGTGCGTTTCTCTGGTGCCCCCAGGGCGCCCACAAAAGGGCAAACTAGAATCTACTTCGCCGCTCTGGTGCCCCAAGAGTACCGCCAGAGCGGCGAACTAGAATCTAGCGCGTCACTCTGGTGCCCCCAGGGCGCCCACAAAAGGGCGAACTGGAATCTGGTGCCCCCGCTCTGGTGCCCCAAGAGTACCGCCAGAACGGCGAACTAGAATCTAGCGCGTCTCTCTGGTGCCCCCAGGGCGCCCACACAAGGGCGAACTAGAATCTGGTGCCCCCGCTCTGGTGCCCCAAAGTACCGCCAGAACGGCGAACTAGAATCTAGTGCGTCACTTTGGTGCCCCCAGGGCGCCCTCAAAAAGGCGAAGTATAATCTAGTTCGCCGCGCTGGTGCCCCAAGAGTACCGCCAGAACGGCGAACTAAAATCTAGTGCGTCACTCTGGTGCCCCCAGGGCGCCCACAAAAGGGCGAACTGGAATCTACCTCGCCGCTCTGGTGCCCCAGGGGTACCGCCAGAACGGCGAGCTAGAATCTAGCGCGTCACTCTGGTGCCCCCAGGGCACCCACAAAAGGGCGAAGTAGAATCTAGTTCGCCGCTCTGGTGCCCCAAGAGTGCCGCCAGAGCGGCGAACTGGAATCTAGCGCGTCACTCTGGTGCCCCCAGGGCGCCCACAAAAGGGCGAACTGGAATCTAATTCGCCGCTCTGGTGCCCCAAGAGTACCGCCAGAACGGCGAACTAGAATCTAGCGCGTCACTCTGGTGCCCCCAGGGCACCCACAAAAGGGCGAAGTAGAATCTATTCGGCCGCTCTGGTGCCCCAAGATTACCGCCAGAACGGCGAACTGGAATCTAGTGCGTCACTCTGGTGCCCCCAGGCCACAACGGCGAACTAGCATCTAGTTCGCCGTTCTGGTGCCCCAGAGTACCGCCAGAACGGCGAATTAGACTCTATTTCGTCACTCTGGTGCCCCCAGGGCGCCCACAAAAGGGCGAATTAGAATCTATTCAGCCGCTATGGTGCCTCACGAGTACCGCCAGAACGGCGAACTAGAATCTAGTGCGTCACTTTGGTGCCCCCTCAGGCGCCCCTAAAAGAGAAACTATATCCTAGTTCGCCGCTCTGATGCCCGAGGGGTACTGGCAGAACGGCGAACTAGAATCTAGCGCGTCACTCTGGTGCCCCCAGGGCTCCCACAAAACGGCGAACTAGAATGTAGTTCGCCGTTCTGGTGCCCCAGAGTACCGCCAGAACGGCGAACTAGACTCTACTTGGTCACTCTGGTGCCCCCAGGGCGCCCGCAAAAGGGCGAACTAGAATCTATGCAGCCGCTCTGGTGCCCCAAGAGTACCGCCAGAACGGCAAACTAGAATCCAGTGCGTCACTCTGGTGCCCCCAGGGCGCCCACGCACGGGCGAACTAGAATCTACATCGCCGCTCTGGCGCCCCGAGAATACCCAAGAGTACCGCCAGAACGGCGAACTAGAATCTAGTGCGTCACTCTGGTGCCCCCAGGGCGCCCTCAAAACGGCGAACTAGAATCTAGTTCGCCGTTCCGCCGTCAGAACGGCGAATTAGAATCTAGTTCGTCATTCCGGTGCCCTCTGGGCGCCCCAAAAACGTGAACTATATTCTATTTCGCCGCTCTGATGTCCCAGGGGTACCGCCAGAACGGCGAACTAGAATCTAGTTCGTCATTCTGGTACCCCCAGTGCGCGTTCAAAGCGGCGAACTAGAATCTAGTTCGCCGCTCTGGTGCCCCAAGAGTACCGCCAGAACGGCGAATTAGATTCTGTTCGTCATTCTGGTGCCCCCAGGGCGCCCACAAAGCGGCAAACTAGAATCTATTCCGCTGCTCTGGTGCCCCAAGGGTACCGCCAGAACGGCGAACTAGAATTTAGTTCGCCATTATTTTGCTCCCAGTGCGAAATGGAATCTAGTTCTCTACTTCTTCATTCTGGTGCCCCCAGGGCGCCCACAAAAGGGCGAACTATAATCTAATTCGCTGTCCTGGTGCCTCAAGAGTACCGCCAGAACGGCGAACTAGAATCTAGGTCGTCATTACGGTGCGTCGTCTTCGTCGTCGTCTTCTCCTCTCTCCCTCCCAGAATGGCCGGCGGCGCCCTCGTCGTCGTCGACGCGGAGGAGCAGAAGGAGGAAGAGGAGGACGAGGAGACAGGAGGAGGGGGAGGATTTGATTTGACACGTCGCATCGCAAAGGCTAGGACCAGCAAGATAGAGAGGAAATCACTAGCAGCCCTACCCCAAGAGGGAAAGGCACCAGCAACTAACTCCCCACCTCACCAGTCGAAACCGATCCACCGCCGTCCACAGCACAGGTGAAGTCCACAAGGGGCACAAGCTCATCAAGCAACACATCCCTATTATTGGGATTGATGCCCCTTCTAAGCCGAGAGAGGTTGCTGCGCGTGTGGCTGGAGGAAGGCCCGCCCTTGCAGGGCCTTCGCCAGCCCGCCGAGCCTAACTCCCTCGGAGACACTGCCACAGTCCATGCAGCAGAAGAGGGTAACCCCGTCGGGGGTTCCCGTCAGGTGGATTTTGTGCCCCTGAGGCTCCTGCACAAGGGCACACAGCACAGGGTTGAAACCTAGACAGTCCGCAGCTGGCTGCGGAGGGGCCCGAACGCACACGAGCAAGACTGCGCGTGCAAGCCCACAGACCTCGAATCCACCTGAATTCATGGCCTCGATCCCTACGCTGGGGCGCCTGCGCCCCTCCAACAGAGGGCGCAGTGGACGGACCCACAGGGGCCCCAGCAGAGGCGAGGGCAGGAGGAGGGGGGGCACCCGAGGGGGAGGAGGAGGGGGAGGAGGCTGAGGAGGAGGAAAGGAAGAGGAGGAGGAGGAGGAGGAGAGGGAGGAGGAGGAGGAGGAGGAGGACAGAAGGCGAGCACCCGTTGGACTATTCGCTACAGGAGGAGGATGTCCCCCCCGCTCGCCCGGCGATTGGGACGAGCAGCCCCCAGGATTGCATCGCGCCCTGGCCGGGCCCTCGGCGAATCCAGCCGTGGCGACGACGGCCTGTCAGGAGCCCCGATCAGAGCGAGCACAGCCTGCCTCCGGTGGGCGGTGGGCCCTGGGACCTTCAAGACGCCCGCCATCTTCCGTCCTTCCCCCTCCTTATCCCCCCTCCTCGCGATCATCGTCGTAATCCTCCTTGTGCCTCCCTCCACCCTCATCGTCCTCATCTTCCTGGTCCTCGTCCGTCCTCCTCGTCCTGCCTCCTCGTCATTCACCCCCTTCGTCCGCCTCCCTCCGAACCTCCAACGTCGATCAATTCCCAATTGTCGATCGATCCTCGATCCTCGGTCGGGCCTCGATCCTCGACCCTCGACCGAGCTCCCATCCTTGATCCACCCTCGATCCTCGGTCTTCGATCGAACCTTGATCCTCGATCGAAATTCGACCTTCGTCGAACCTCGATAGACCATGGATCCTTCACGGATCCTCGAGCTTCGATTCTCGATCCCCCGCCATTCTCGATCTTCGATCTAACCTCGATGATCGATCCTCCTCCGCCTTGTCCTCACCACCCCCTGTCCTAACCCTCCTCACTCCTCCTCCTCGCCCCCTCCTCCTCTTCCTCCTCCTCCTCCTCCCCCTCCTCCCGTTCATCTTCGTTTCCCCTTCGCCCCCCCCTCCTCCTCTTCCTGCTCCGCATCGCCTTGTCCTCGCCACCCCTCTACCTTATAATTCTCCTCAATCCTCCGCCTTCTCCTCGCCCCTCCTCCTCTTCGTCCTCCACCTTCTTCTCTCGTTCATCATCTCCCCGCCTTCGCCTTCCCATCTTCCTCTTCCTCCTCCTCCGCATCGTCATCCTTGTCATCCTCCGCGTCAAGTCTTTGCCAACTGCGGAAGCAAGTCTTTGTCAAGTGGTTGATTCGTTTTCGAGGCGGTTGAAACACCACGGTCTGTCCTCCTCCTCCCCTTCCTCCTGCTCGCCCCCCTCGTGCCGGGACAACTGCGGAGGCAAGTGTTTATCAAGTGGTTGATTCGGTTTTGGGGGGGTTGAAACACCGCGGTCTGACAGGGCTGCCAGACCTCATGGACGACCGGGGGCAGCTGCGGATGTTGCGGACTTGCTTGCGCCGCCAGCGAAAAAGGACGACCAGCAAGGAGCAGGAGGGAAGGAAGAGGATAAGGGGGGGGAAGATGATCAGTCAGCTCTGTGCTGGGCGACTTCTGTATAAACACAAATGCATTCGGCTCGCGATGGAATCGCTTGAGCTTAGCCTGTGGCCCGTTTGGGGTGCGTGTCGCGCTCTGGGTAATTAAACTCTTTACCCGCACGTCCCGCGTGCGCGAGGCATTAGAGCTTGCACCAGCAGGCATATTACCAGCGCCGACAGCTTCGGTTGAAAAGGCTGTCGAAGGCCTGCATAAGTTAGGCATTCTCCCATGCTTCTGAGTGGGAAAAAAACGTGAGAATGATACACATGCCGCTTCAAACTTAAAGCCGAACTATAAACGATATTTAACAAAAAGGCCCGATGGAAAGAGAAAGAGGCGTGAAAAAGACTCGTGGTCCAGAAATTTGAATCCAAACGTGGCGCACAAAGCTGCGTTCAAACACGAGGGAGAGGGATGAGGAGGCGGAGGAGGAGAGGAGAGGAGAGGCGGGGTGCATGATCGCAAAGACTCGAGAGATCTTCATAGGACTTCAAAACGTGATTTCATGAGGGGCTCGTAGACCTCCACGACCCAGGCAGGGGGGGGCACGCCCCAAGAATGTCAAACACACGCTACGCTGGCCCTGGCTCCAGCAAGGAAGGGGCGCCCAATCTGGCGCAAAGGGCATTCTGGGAGGCCCAACGCGACCCAGCGCGACTAAAGGAACAAGCGCGAGGAAAGGTGGGGGGGCGGGAGAGGCGGGGGGCAGGTACACGCTATACTGGCCCTGGCTCCAGCAGGGAGCGGGGCAAGACGGCTCAGCGCAATGTGACGTCAAGAGGGCCACGGGGAGATCCAATACAGCCCAGGATGGTTCCAAAAGCAGCCCAGAACGGCCCACGAGGGCCCCGAACCACACCAAGGAAGGCCAAACAGGGCTTCCAGAGAGGTCCGGGACAGCCCAAGGGAGCTTCACGAAGGCCCAAACGGCTGCCAAGACAGCCCAGGATGGTTCCGATTGCTGCCTGAAACAGCCCAGGGCTCAAAAGCGCCCAACATGGCCCCAAGAGGGCCTTCAGGGAGGCCCTGCGCGACCCAGGACAGCACCCGCCAGGAAGAATGGGTAGGGCGTGAGGGACGGATGGGCAGGTACACGCTTTACTGGCCCTGGCAACTCGGAGCTCTGAGACGCCGCGCTCGAGGTGGTCCGGCCCGTTTCGCCTGAGACTTCCTCGCAGCACGTTTCGCCCGAGACATCGTCGCAACTCTGGGGTCCGAAATGCCGCGCGCGAGGTGGTCCAGCCAGTTACGCTGGAGTCATCCTCGCAACTCTGGGCTCCGAGATGCCGTTTGGGATGAAGAGGAGGTGGAGGAGGAGGAGGAGGAGGAGGAGGAGGCATGTTTTAACATGCCATGCCAGTCCGCACTGGACGGGCACGCAATCGACCTTGGAAACCGCAGTGCGTCTAAAAACCCTGTTTGGGGATACTGCACTCCGGCTATAGTTTTGTGTGATTTCGATGCTTTGATGTTTTAAACGCCTTTCTCGAGCCGTGGAGGTGTCTTGGAGGGGTCTTGCGGCCAACTTGGGCCAGCTGGGGCAATCTTAGAGTCAACTTCGGACAACTTGGAGCCAACTTCGAGTTAACTTGGAGCCAACCTGGGCCAAATTGCAGCCAACTTGCGCCAACTTGGAGCCAACTCGGAGCCAACTCGAAGTCAACTTGGGTCAACATGGAGCACACTTGAGCCAACTTGGGCCAACTTGGGGCCAACATGGGCCAACTCGAGGCCAACTTGAAGCCAACTTCTGCCAATTTGTCGACAACTTAATCCTATTTCGGCGCATTCCTGCAATGAAGAAAGACGTTAAACAACAAACTGTTTCCTTGTGTGTTTTAAGGTTTTCGGAGCCAGCAGGGGTCGAGTTGCAGCAAACTTGTGCCAACTTGGTGCCGTTTCGTGCACCATGGGACCAACTTGGAGCCAACATGAGCCAACTTGGAGCCAACTCGGGGCCAACTTGGAGCAAACACGGCCCAACTTGGAACCAACTTTGGCCAACTTGCGGTGAGCTTGAACCAACTTTGGACCGACTTCAGCCGACTTGGGCTCAATTCGAGCTCATTAAAAACTTGTTTGCCGGATGGTCCCGGATCGGGCCGTCGGCGGCACAGGCCCGGCATTCTGGGGTGGTGGGAAAACGCGATTTTCTGAAGAAAAGCAACGTTTCGTCGAGGTAAAAGGCGACTCTTCGAATTGGCGGGTTTTCGAGGCCCTAGAGCAGCTGACTAAAGTCAGTTGCGACATTGCTGATTAAAGCCAGCAACAGAAAGTGGACAAGTTAGAAGTTGTGCAGTGGCTTTGATTGGAACTGTGTGCTAACAGAGAGGTCCCACATGCCGTGGTAGCAGAACACTGAAGGTGTTCAGCGCGGCGGATTACAAAAAAAGGCTTACGCCTTTGCCGCCAACCGCTTTATGTTCATTGTGTCGATAGTCATGGCGACAGACACGGGTTTTGGCGACAGTGTCGCAATACTAGCCAGTGTTAACAACCGTGAAATATGTTTCTCAAGAAGGGGCCTCTCTCTTGTGGCTTCTTGTGTTGCGTTTTAGGACTTTGCAGAATAAGAGGCATTGATGCTGTGTTTGCCGGTGGCAGACTGTAAGATAAAAGCGTATGATAGTTGGCGTCTCTATAACTCGCAGCCTGTGCGCGCCAGCGTCGTCAGTCTGTCAGTTTACTGAGTTTTCTGCCCCAGGGAGCGCGCGCTCGGACACCCCTCTGTTGGGGAGGGGGGGCCTGTCGCGGGTTCACGGTGTGCAGCCTACGCAAAGCCACACCGTGGGCCGACAAATGGGGGTGGCCCCCCTCCACAGGTCGACTGCGCATTTTCATTGCTTTTGGGGCCCGCCCAAAATAGTCACCCAAGGCCTTTGGTGACTGTTTTGGTCGCGCGGGCTTGGGCCTCGCAGCGGTGACACAAGCCCTGCTGAGGGGACAGGATTTGTTCAATTTTGGGTGTACCGGCTTATCCGCGATTGGAAACATGTAATTCGATAGTGTATCAAACCCGTCGTAGTTCGTATCAGGTTACCTTGTTCTACATACTGGAACTGATGCGGTTTTATGTTTGACTGCAGTAGATTTTCTGAAAGCAAGCAAGAAGCATGCCAGCCATTAGTAAGCCTTAATCAAGCAATAGCTGGCTTGGATTTTACATATGCTTCTACCGCAGCCATTTCGGTTCAATCATGTGAGCTCAATGAAGTAGTTTTTGAAACGATGCCGGATATCTGTGATCACAATTCGTCCAGACATTGTGGTGAATCAATCGCTGCAAAGGTTCTTCGGGCATGTGCCACCAGGAGCAGGACTTGCAAAGATGGCTTTGACAAAGGGGTAAAACATATCTTCCATCCCGATGGGTTGTTAAAGGGTTACCTATTCAAAATGAAGGATGGCAGTACGGACACTTACAGGAACAAGGGCCACTGCATAGGTTCTTGTTCCACAAACTGCAAGACACATGGCCACGCGTATACCGACGGAAGGGAAGGTACGAAACATCGGGGCCCATGTCATGGAGTGAAGCTCAATGATCCAAACACTGGAGAGAGTGGACCTGGTGGTAACACATCTGGCGGTGAAGGTCCAAGCAACAGTGGAGGGCCTGGAGGTAACAGCGGTCCCAGTCCAAACGGTGAGGGGCCTGGAGGTGACACAGGCGGCAAAACAGGCAAGCCACCAACCGCTGGCTCTGGTTTTGACTTCAACAAAATTCATGAGGCAGGTAAGACCGTTGCACAAACAGGAACTTGTGCGGCTGCAGGCTTAAGTTTGCTGGAAGAAGGTGCAAAGCTTCGGAGAGGTGAGGTAACCAAGATCGAGGCTACAATGTCAATTATTCAATCGCTTCTCTCATTCCGCCGGCCCATATTGCATGATCGCTAGGGGTTCGCCGCGGTCTCGTGGTCAATGCGGCGCTGCCGAGGAGGAGAAGGAGGAGGAGGATGGGGAAGGGGATGGGGGAGGAGGAGGAGGGGATGTAGTAGTAGGTAGTAGTAGTAGTAGTAGTAGTAGTAGTAGTAGTAGTAGTAGTAGTAGTAGTAGTAGTAGTAGTAGTAGTAGTAGTAGTAGTAGTAGTAGTAGTAGTAGTAGTAGTAGTAGTAGTAGTAGTAGTAGTAGTAGTAGTGTGGTGGTGGTGGTGGTGGTGTGGTGGTGGTGGTGGTGGTGGCGGTGGTGGTGGTGGTGGTGGTGGTGGTGGGGTGGTGGTGGTGGTGGTGGTGGTAGTAGTAGTAGTAGTATTTGTAGTAGCAGTAGGAGGAGGAGGAGGAGGAGGAGGAGGAGGAGGAGGAGGAGGAGGAGGAGGAGGAGGAGGTGTAAGAATATTCCTTCCCCGCTACCCAGCAGAGCAGGCCGGCAATGCGCAGAGGTTTGGATAGTTGGGCAGTCAGGCAGCCGTGTTACCATGGCTGTTTGGCTCAAGCATTGCTTCTTTTGTTATCGTGAAAACTTCTATCAATCTTTCATGGTAGCGGAGCTGGAGCGGCGCGCATGGCTGCCGCTAGTAGTGGTGGAGCAACGCTACCCGCGCTACCCGAAGCCACGGTAGGTTTCTCAGATACTTTCGGAGGAACCGTTCTGCGAGGGACTGGCCCGAGAGTTGCTACGGTTGAGCCTGCGATAAGGACTGCTTGGTATCAGCTAGGACATGAGAGGCTAACTGAGCTATGCAACAAGGCCTTCAAGAACGGCGACTCCGGCTACTTGTTGACGGCGCTAAAAGCTAATCATGAAGGAATGAGGCTCGTGCTAAACTCAGTCGGAAAGAGAGAGAGAGAGAGAGAGAGAGAGAGAGAGAGAGAGAGAGAGAGAGAGAGAAAGAGAAAGCCAGGGCAACGGGCGAGCAAGAGCAGCTAATGGCAAACGAATCGTTCAACATGTTTAAGATTATGTTCAAGGCCAACGCATTGCTGCTAACATCAATAACGAGAAACGCCCACGTGGTGAAGGAGTAGACCGCGCTTGATAAGGTGGTAAAGACCAAGATAGTGAGTGCATCGACGAACGTCGCCATGATAGCCCACTATATGACCAAGGGCAGCAGCGGAGGTACACGATTCAGCAAGCCGATCAGCGAATTCAAGGCAGTCCAGCAAACCGATAAACTCGACGGAAGCCGAGCTACCTTCAGGAAGTAGAACGAGAAAATGATCAACGCGCTGGGCCAGGTTAATCCGCGGTACAGGCATGCATTGGATAACCTGGACAACAGGCTCGAAACTATTGAGGGACTGCTACCTGAACGTGATGCTGACGATCGGGGTAAGATGCTGAAGGGGTGCCTAATGGACGCTGCGAAAGCAAGAACTTCCCCAACCAAA